GGGGGGGGGACGTGTGTTGTTTTTTCCTGTGGGAATGTTGCTTTCCTTGGGAAAGTTCATTGAGGAAGCAGTACTGTTGGTGTCCGTTTGACCCTGGCTGGTGCCTGGGCCTCCTGGCTCCTCTTGACTATTACTGACAAGTGCCCATCAAAGAGCCTGGAGGCAGGGAAGAGCCCAGAGGAAGGCAGAGCCGGGCAGGACCGTCTCGCCACACACCACGTGCTGTGGAGCCCGGCCAGGGTGCAGTTTGCAAAATGAAATAAGGGCTGTCTGGGGAGGTTTATGAGGATTACATGTGTGCAGAGTATGTCAGTTCTCCAAGGTGTCACTCTAAACACGTAATTTTCAAGCACCACTTTCTTCGCTGAATCTGCAGGAAGGCAAAAAACCTATTTCTCTTATTACGGAGCAGACATCCCAATTGGGAATGGGCTGAAATCTGTACTTCATTTGTACATATTGAAATTTTAAAAGGCAGAGAGAGCAAGGTCTAGGGAAGCAGTATGCTAATGTGTTGACATCTGGGAGAAAACATCTATTGGCTATTCCCGATGCAGCTCAATGTTAATTTAGGCTCAGTGTGGTTCAAAAGTGGAAGAGAGATAGCTTTAAGGGGTTCTTAAAACTATTTGAAGAAGGTGTGACATTTTGCTGTCAATCACGGAAGTCTCTCCGGAAGGCAGTTTTCACTAACGATTACTCATAACCAAATATGTAGGAGTTCCCAAGTCTAGAATCAGAAAGAAGATGGTGCTTCTCTTAAGGATCTTTTGGACATCTCAGAAATCAAATAGAACAAAATAAGGGATATAACTTTGAATGTAAACTTCATTTTCTCCATTGGAAGCGTTTCACAAGGAAAGGTTACGAGATAGTAGATGTGAAATGATGCTGCATTTATTGATTTGACATTTACCATGTGTTGATGTCCAAAAGGACATGACTAGCCAGATGAATCTCTCTATAAACTATGTCGCAGCTTTGATAATTCCAGACAGTTGGTTCAGGTGTCGGTGGAAATGTGGAACAGAGGCCAAGAAACTTTGTGTGCGCTCTTATTTTGGAAGGAATTGTAGTAGTACTTTACTGTTCTTAAGAGGAGGGAAACCCACACAAACATCTAATACAAACAAATGATCTTTGATATTATCAGAGAAAGCCTGGAGCTGTTTTTCTTGCCAGATTTAAGGCATTGCTTGTCAGAAGAGGAAATCTCCCAAGGAGCAGGTGCACCATTATAAGAAACACAAGGGAAATTCTCTTTTAAATGCAAAATCTAATTGAACAGCAACAAGAGAATCAGTGACACTCTTAGAATAGAAGCCTTGTTTTTGGCAGTCTGTCAGGTTACAGTTGCAAACCACATAGGAGAAATATGTGTCTTGGGAGAACAATAATATCCTGGCAAAAATCAAACAATTGCTTCTGTGAAACTTTTACCCTCATATATTTGTTTCCTTGTGCACCTTTGATTGATAGGCAGATCTCATTACAAGGAGTAATTTACTGAAAATGAATCAATAAATCGGTTACTTTTATGATATATACTTTGAATGATTTTGCACTGCACATGGATGAAATAACTAGATTTCATTTTTTTATGGTTTGCATCTTCGCTCTCTTTTAAGCTTTAAAAGTTAATGATCAAGTTATGTGTTGAAATGATGACTATGAATTGATAAGACTGATGGCTAGGCCCTGGACAAACACTAATTGATCCCTAAATAGTTATAGTGTATTCACTTTGTGCATTTGTGGCATATAAAAATATAAAATACACAATCTCTTCACAAGACTCTTGGCAATAGGACACATGAAAGATACTTTATGATCCAGCACCCAAGATGCTGAATAGTAATTGGAAAGGAGTTCTGAGGAGAAAATGACCAAACCGGCTCAGATGTTTTATCCGTTACGGTGTCGCTGCATAACCAGTCACCCCAAAATGCAGTTGCTTAAAGCAACTACGAAAGCTCATGATTCTATGGTCAGTGGTTTGGGCTGAGTTCAGCTGGGTGGTTCTTCTGCTTTTCTTGACAGGAGTTCCCTCGGGCATCTTCAGTCCGCTGGTGGGTGAGCTGGTGGCAGGATGATCTGGGATGGCTTCAGTTACGTCTGGCAGTTACCGTGCTGTTAGCCAGGTTAACAGGTGACCAGGACATGTACCTCCCATTCTTGAGCAGATGAGACTGGGCTTCTTTACATGACAAGCACTGTACCAAGAGCAGCAAAAAAGCAAGTATGAAGCCTCTGCGTATATCCTATTTGTTACTCTCCCATTGTTCAGAGCAAATCACACGGTCACCCTGCATTCAAGGGGTGTAGAAAGACTCCACTTATAAGGAGAGGAAGCCCCCCCAAAATTGTAGTCTTTTTGTTTGTTTGTTTCAATTTACTACATGTTTGAATACTTGTTCTGGTGTATGTTTTCTACTAAGGAAGAGTCTACTGTGAGTCAGGAGAGATCAGTGGGCAGCGCAGGATTTAGGTTAGGGAATGCCATCATTGTCCTGTAGTCTTTGTTCTATAAACCTTGGGTAGGTGATGAATAATGCAGCGATAGTAAAAGTTGAGTCACAGCTTTCTGCCAGTGGAATCAGGATGGTTTGGTGACAGGAGGCTGATGGCAGAGTCAGCAAACCATTGTTGGGAGGTGAGGAAGGCTCTGGCAAAGGTGGAGGCAGAGACAAGGAAAAGGAAGGGATCACTCTGGGGGGTCCCATATTTTAGGATTAGGTGACTGATGATGATAGGACACTATTGAAAGCCTCCAGTCAAAATCATTCTGAAATTTTAAAAAAGCTTAAGTGGCTGAATGAACGATTGTGCTGTCGTGAAAAATAGAGAAATCAGTAAGTGATTTATATGGGGGGAGGAGAAAAATTCAGTTCCAGAAAGGTTGATTGAAAGAGATAAATTGAATGTGAACGTACTTTATAAACTGCAGAGTATGCTATGAACGTTAGCTATTGCTTAGTGCTTAAGTTGCAGTGAATTGTGTAGACTTGAGTGTCTCTAGAGTAAAGCAACAGAAACCAAAGGCAACCTGGAGGATATCCTAAGGGTCAAAGGAAGTCAGAAGAACCACTTTCAGGATGGAAACGGAACTACTGGGGGGCCGGGGGAGTAATAACTCACGTTCTTTTTCTGCAAGCTGGAGGTCTGCCCTTGGACTTAGCATACCCGCAAAGAGAAAACCTTTGGGGGTACCTGGGTGGTTCTCGGTTGGGCATCTGACTCTGGGTTTCGGCTCAGATCATGATCTCAGAGTCGTGAGATGGAGCCCGGGGTCCCAGGTCGGGCTCCGCGCTAGCATGGAGTCTTCTTGTCCGCCTCTCCCTGCCCCTCCTCTTGCTCTTTGTTTCTCTCTCTCTCAAATACATAAATAAATAAATAAATAAAATCTTAAAAAAGAGAGAAAACCTTTGGCCTAGTTTGAATGGCATGCACACTGCTTAGCTGGGCCCATGGGTTGACCACCCCACTAAGATGGTGCACAATGGGGAGTCGGTAGGTGCTTCCTCAGAGGACAGGGGCGTACTGCTCTCAGAAGCGGGAGTGGACACAGGGTGGCAAAATCAACACCTGCCCACCGGAAATGAACCCTCGCAGATTTGTTTGGACCTAGCCCCTGAGAAGCCCACAGGATAGGAGCTGACAGTTCAGGCATACTTACATAGAGCTCTGTGGGTGCATTAATAAGAGTTCAGCCCATGTTAGTGTAGGGGTCTTTTCATGGAAGGAGAGTAAAGAAAGAAGGCCCAACATCATGCATCCTCCAGGCTCCTCCATAAATGTCGGTGGTTGTCCTATTAGAGGGGAGAGGAATTCAAAACACGTTCAACGCTTTTTCACCTGAGGGCTCAGTTGAGGTGCTGCTTCACCAGCCTTGGGTTATTGATGGCCAGTCTGAAATTCAGGTGGTGTCCTCACCATCAAGTGCAGCTGTGGGCCAGACGGAACCACCTGGCCATTCTAGCATCGCACAATTAGGCTGAAGAGCACGCACAGCTGCTCGTTATGGAAGGGCCTCGGATGGCCCCACTCAAATCCAAGCACACGCTTTTATAGTTTCTTTTGTACAAGCCTAAGAACCCTGAAGATATTCAATAAATGTTAACTTAATGAGTGAATGTGCCATGATCTGGTACAGTAACATTTTCTAAAGCAGTCTCGTTTGACTTTTTATTAGTCACAGTAGAATTTGCTATAAAATCCCTAAAATGTATTTTTTTTTAAAGATTTTCTTTATTTATTTGTGAGAGAGAGAATGAGAGAGAGCACATGAGAGGGGTTAGGGTCAGAGGGAGAAGCAAACTCCCTGCCGAGCAGGGAGCCCGATGCGGGACTCGATCCAGGGACTCCGGGATCATGACCTGAGCCGAAGGCAGTCGCTTAACCAACTGAGCCACCCAGGCGCCCCCTAAAATGTATTTTTTAGATTCAAATGTTTCAAGGTACTATTGTCTCAGTAATGGAGGTTTTTATAATCCACCACTCACAGACGTAGACTCTTTCTTTGTGGAGACACAGTTTTCTTTACTTCTTATCTTTATCAGCAGCTCTTGGCCACAAGTCACAGAAACCTAGCATACACTTGGTCAGGCGGGAAGGGGCATGTGTTGGCTCCTGTATGGGAGAAGTTCAGGAAGAATCCAGTTCTGATTTCCCCCTCTTCTTCCTGGTGGTAGGATGGTCATCAGCAGCTTCAAGCTTAACCCCTGCAGGAAAAGAGAATAATTTGGGATTAACTCGAATTAGTGGGCACATGCCCATGCCTGAACCAGCTGCTGGGGCCAGGGGTTTGGAACACGTGTTGGCTTGTCTTTGACGACGTGCCCAGGCCTGGAGCCTTGGGGAACAGGAGTAGCAGTCCGTGTGCGGAGGCGGGAGATGTGCGAATGCAGGAGCTGCGTGGGAGGGTGGTCAGCAAAACCCTCCTAAACCCAGTGGCCTGAAAGCAGGAAGGGGTTGTTTCTTAAAAAGAAAATATGGAAAAGAAGAGAAAGTGGATACCGTGCAAGCAAAGGGGCCGGTGTCTGCTCTTGCATCTGTTTTTCCTCGTGGACGCATCATCCACTCTGCCCCCAAGCCGTGAACCTGGGAATGATCCCGATGTGACCTCCACCTGGTCAGTCACCAGGACTGCCTGCTCTGTCTCCATCTTACTCTTTCCCCACATTAGTTTAGAGTTAGAGCCTCCCTGTTTCACCCTGCACAAGTCCCCTCTGAAAATGCCACATCCAGTCTCTCCGCTTCAACTCTGTCCTCCCCACCATTTGTTTCTAAAGAATAAATAGATGAAATCGAATCAGGTAACTGCCTAAGAGCCATTCAAAACCTCATAACCCTGGGGGGCGGGGGGAAGACCAAGCTCCTGATCTTGAATTCCGTGGTTCCCGGGGTTCCCCGTGATGAGGGCCGTGCCTTACTAGCCCTTGAACATCCACTCCTCCTTCCACACTCAACCCAAGTGTTGCTCTTGCAAGAAGCCTTTGCTGAACACCAGGTCCTGCCCTGCATCATAGTTTACTTTGAAACCTTGTTTCACATGCTGGGGATGTGTGACTCTCTCCCCGGAGTACTGACAGTGACAACTGCCTGGGGCTTTGTCTTTGTGCGTCCCTGTGCCTAGTGCGGGGCTCCTCACAAGAAGCTCTACTGTAGAAGAATGAATGAAAACTCTGTGCTGAGTCATTCACCTTGGTGATTTTCAAGGTTTACTCTATTTCCTTTAACTCGATTTCTTAAATTTGCATCTCACAGTGTTGGCTCTGAAAGCAGGTACTCTTTGAAATTGCTGCTCAGATACTTTTCAGCTGTTTTCCCAGCTCCTTGGTATGCTCCTTGCTTGCTTGGTCGCTAACAGCTACTTCAAGGAAGAAGCTGAAAAATATCAGCCATCAGCCGCCCAAAGTCAGTCTCGAAGCTAGACTGTGTGGCTCAGAGACCAGATGAGGAATACCTTTTTTTTTCCCCCTGCCATAAAAGAGGTTATTTAATAGTTAATATTTATGAGGCACTTTACTCTGCGTTGGGTGCTTAACAGATGACTCAGAATTATTTTCTTATTAATTCTCACAGCAGCCCTAGGAAGGAGATATTACCATTATCCATCCTTTTTCTGCCTATGAGGAAACTAAGATTTACAGAGTTGGAGGGGCTTGCTTGCCACTCAGGTCCTTCTTCCCGGAGATTGTTCAGCCGTCAGACACACCTCTAGGTTGTTGAGTAGAATCAAGCTTTGATTGGGCTCTTCCAATTCACCCATTACGATTTTTGTTGTTATTGCTCTAATGTGAAGTGACCACCTCCTAAGAATAAAACGTGCCACCTACCTCCCTTGGCTTTGAATATGTCAAAAAGATTATGGAGAAAGATGTATCTAAAGCAGTAAGGACTCCGGTACCATAGTTGAAATGAAGACGAATGTCTCCCTTAGAAATTTTGTCATATTCCTATGGTTCTGCTGTTGCCAGATAATAAAGGGCTCCTATGGAGGTTGTACCGCTGTGTACAGAATGCAGGCGTCCTGAATAGCCAGAGGGAAGTCTTAGTTCTGAGGATCACTCAGAAACTGAGTCCCTAGATTGGTAAAATGAGCCAAACATTTTAGAAGCCACAGCAGCTCAATGGTTTTTACCAGTTTTCAGTCTGAGAGCCTGTTGAGAGTTTTCTTTTTTTTTTTCAAGATTTTATTTATTTGACAGAGAGCAAGAGAGCACAAGCAGGGGGAGCAGCAAAGGGAGAGGGAGAAGCAGACTCCCCACTGAGCAAGGAGCCCAATGTGGGACTCATCGATCCCAGGACCCTGAGATCATGACCTGAGCTGAAGGCAGATGTTTAGCCGACTGAGCCACCCAGGTGCCTCGAGCCTGGTGAGGTTCTGATGAAAGCTATGGAGACTGTCCTCAGAGAAAACAGATGTGCCCCCACACCACTGAGCTCACGGGCTTACAGGATCCGTGGAAGCCCGTTTGTGGATTTGCGGGGGCTCCATAGACTCCAGGTCAGAAGCCTTGTTTCAAAGCTGTAATCCGGAAGACAGGTAATAGCCATTGTCGTATATTGACCACATCCTGCCAGTCACCTGCAGGTTTATCCACTGTTTACCCCGTGCCAGTCCTTTTGCAGAAGTATAGAGCCCTAAGCACCCCTCTAAGACATGGATTCTGAGCCCTGTTGGAAGGGGTGGGGAGTGAAGTTAGCGGAGGAACCCCGTCTCCCAGCTAGCAAGGG